TCCTTGAGGGCCAATACACTGAAGAGCTCTTGGGCAGCAGATTTACCTAACGCGGTGCATTCTGTGATCTCCTGGCTTCTGCCTCCATGAGCATTGCGTGTGGGCCCAGGCAAGGTGAAATCCTGGTCAACGTCAACCTTCTCTCTGCTAACCCGTGGGTCCCGTGGCAAGGATTCGGGTCATCTTTACACGGAGTTGCTGTCCCTGATCTCCATCAGCCAGTGGTCCAGTCAAGCCCACCTCGCTTTCCGCTTTCCGCAAGCAAGGTGGTGTCGCCTGCGTATCGCAGGCTGTTAACAACCCTTCCTCCAATCCCGATGCCGCCTTCCTCGTGTAATCCAGCCTCTCTGGCTATTTGCTCAGCGGACAGATTGGATGGTGTGGTGAGGGGATACAACCCAAACTACACCTTGCCTGGTCTTACCCCCGTGCTCTGTTCTCACAACTGCCTCTTGATCCAGATGGCAGGCTGCTGATGGCCCCCATGATTGGCAGGTACTATGGAGAGCTGTGGTCTCAAGTTCAAAGACCCGGAGATCAATGAGCCAGATGCGGGATCCAGACCCAGCAAAAAGCAGAGCAACTGAAGTTGTGATTGCTGTTTTCCTGGGGTTTTTTGTTTCTTCAGGAAAGTGAAACCCAGGATTGATGAACCGATAGGGATAGAAGGTGGAATAAGGGATTTGGGAGGAGGGCAGTGGTGGTGGCGGGGGGCAAAGGGAGACAATGTAAAGGAGTCCAGGCAGAAAAGAAATGTTTGGAAACTGCTGTGGCAAATGTACAATTCTGCTGGACATGCTATATGTCTTGATTCCCAGTTAATAATAGAACAAAGGGGGTGGGTCAAAGCAAGCTTTCCACACCATCTGCTTACATATAAGACGTGGGCCACACTCCCGAGGAAGCCTCTTTCAATGGTAGCAGCGCTGGGGCCTGAGCACAGGAGCTACATCCCACCCTAATCCTACAGCTGCGTGGCCACTCACAGTCAGGCCCATCCCAGAGGTGATTTGTTAGGTCGCGTCATGGGGAAGGTCCTACAAACTGAGACTCCTGACCCAGCCAAGTTGGCACAAAGCCCACTTATCCCAGACCCTGTGTGCCCCAAAACCCATAAGATGTCCTACGCTGTAACATTCACAGGTGCTGCCTGCCAGGCCTCTCACCCTCAGAGCACCTGGGTGGCTCTGAACCGCCAACCTCTGGGTCAGCCGCGAAGCCCTCGGAGCAGCCCAGGCTCCTGTTCAACTGTGAAAATACGCTAAGTGAGCGGAGTCAGACTCCAGCAGACAAATGCTGTGTGGTACATTTAGGGTAGGAAATGGATGGAGACAATTCTATCCGGGGTCCAGCGAGGGGTGGGAAACTGGGTAGTTCCTGCTTACAGGGTACTGAGCTTCTCTTTGGGATGATAAAACCCCTGGAATTAGAGCGTGTTGACGGCTGCCAGCAGGGTGTGTGTGATGAAGGCCCCTCAGGGGCACACTTAGGTGGTGGCAACAGCAGGTTTGTGCACTTTTCATTCTACCCTGCACACCCCATGGAGCCGGGTCTTTTCCTGGGGGGTTTGCAAGGAGAGATGGAAGCTGCTGGAGGTGGATGAAGCTGGACAGGACCGCTACTGAAAGAACCCGGGAGTACTCACCCCCAGGGTGACCATCCCCGGCTGGTGAAAGTTAGCAACGGCCTTTGTTTGTGTGTTTGCTTTTCCTGTTCTTTCTTTCAACCTTTTCTGGATTTTGAGGAAGACCTAAATATTCATGTTATCGTCAGGAAGAAAACACACACCCACAAAGCTGGCTTGCCAACCAGCCAAGCATTTCAGCACATCTTCACGGATCCTTTGTTTGGGGTCCAGATCCCAGGAGGCCCTCCAGGGAGTGGGCTGGGCACCAGACAGCTGGACGGCACTGGATGGGTGTGAGACAGAAACAAACAAGGAGAGCCCCCTGGAGGAGGTGATGTGGGTAGGACAGGCAGGTGTGCCCCAGGGGACCTGGAGGGGGAATTCCAAGTAATGCAGAGTGGGATCCAGGGCAGCAGAGTGGCGGCCAACGCGGGGCACATGGTGGACGCTGTGGGTGAATGGACATGCTTCTTCTTAGAGCAGGTTAAACTTTAACCAAGGACATGACTACTAGCCCCTACTCCAGAAGTGACTCCTGGTCATAGTTTAATTCCATCTGGTCTAGGTGACCTCCGTCTCCACTTTCCCCAGTTCCAAATTTGGCTTTGCCGGGAGGACCCAGGGCGGAGTCACTAGGCCGAGTCCCTGGCCTCTGGCCTCTGAGTGACTGAGCTGGGTGGACACTCCGGGTCAGCAAGGCAGGCAGCCCCTGGCATGCTCCAGGCTGCCCTCCTGAGAGCAGGCACCTCCTCCGGGCCGCCAGGGAGGCCCCATGGCGTTTGCTGAACTCTTGGATCGAGTGGGTGGCCTGGGCAGGTTCCAGGTGCTCCAGATGGTGGCCCTGGTGGTCCCCATCATGTGGGTCACCACCCATGGCATGCTGGAGAACTTTGCAGGAGCCATACCCAGCCACCGCTGCTGGGTGCCCCTCCTGGACAACAACACAGCTCAGGCCAGTGCCCCTGCGCACCTGGGCCCCGAGGCCCTGCTGACCGTCTCCATCCCACCCGGCCCCAACCGAGAGCCCCACCCGTGTCTCCGCTTCCACCACCCGCAGTGGCAGCTCCTGGACGCTAATGCCACGTCCACCAACTGGAGCGAGGAGGCCACGGAGCCGTGCGTGGACGGCTGGGTCTACGACCGAAGTACCTTCGTCTCCACCATAGTCACCCAGGTAAGACCCCTCCTCACCATACACCACCACCACCACCCCAAGTCCTGGCACCTTAGAGGTCAAAGTCACCGGTCAACCTCCAAATAACCCTGGGAGTTGGGTCTAGCCCCTCCAGCAGAACCCTGGGGTCTGCCCAGGCTGTGCCCGGAGCTGGGCTGGTGGGCGCTTGGGAGTACTCAGTGGGTAGCTGCGTGCCACCCCTCTGCCTGGTCCTGCACACACCTACCAGCTGTGACTCCAGGTGGCTCACCCTGCCTGTCACACGGGACGTGCTGTGTCCCCGAGAGCCTGAGCTGGGTGCTGGAGACACGTGGATGAGGTGGATTCCTGCTCCCTAAGAGGGAGTGGTTCCCAGAGGCCTCCCTGAGGCCCAGCAGCTGAAGCCTCCCTCTGGGGCTGAGTCACCCCAGGTGGCTTCCCAGACAGAGCACTGGGTCCTCCTGGGAGGGATGCCCCACCTCAGCAAGCAGGAGGAACAGAGGGAAGGTTCTGGGGCCTCGCGGGCACGGGGTCTGCAGAGTGGGTAAGGCCTGGAGAAGGTCTGACTCCTCAGACCATCGGGGGTCCTGAGGGGGCTTAGGCCAGGGGTGACCAGACACCTCTCCCGAGGTAAGGCACACCTGAGGGACTTCCCTAGAGGACATCGTCCGCCCGTCCACCGTCCATCTCACTCCCTTGTCCCCTCCGCTCAGTCCTCTGCCGTCCCTTCCTTCCAGTGGGACCTGGTCTGTGACTCGCAGGCCCTGAGACCCATGGCGCAGTCCATCTACCTGGCTGGGATCCTGGTGGGGGCCGCCGTGTGCGGCCATGCCTCAGACCGGTAAGTGCCACCTGGTGCTGGCAAGCCCCCAGCCCCCTGACCCCTGCCGCCCAGGCCTCGGACCCTGACGCAGCCCTGAAGCTTCTTGTATCAGGGATGTCCAGACCTAGCTGTGCTGCCCCTGGCAAGACCGTGCCCTCTCTGAGCCTCAGCCTCAGGGGACGGACAGACATGGATTTCCCTCAACCGCTCCCTGTGGAAAGTTGCTCTGCTTGAGTCCTCCTGGGGCCCGGGAGCTCACCCCCTGCTGAGAGCACTGCAGAGACTCGGGACATGCTTCCTTGGGCTCAGGAAGCCTCGGAAGCGGGTCTGGCGCTGGCGTCTGGCTGACCTGCACCTGGGTCAGCGGGCCCTGTGGCACACCCCAGCTCCCCGGGCCTGTCACAGGTTCGGACGCAGGCTGGTGCTGACCTGGAATTACCTTCAGCTGGCCCTGGCGGGCACGGCGGCCGCCTTCGCACCCACCTTCTCAGTGTACTGCCTGCTCCGGTTCCTGCTGGCCTTTGCCGTGGCGGGCATCATGATGAACACGGCCACCCTCAGTAAGTCCCCGCTGGGCTCCCGGCTCAGGAGAGGCCCCTCGGGTGCTCGAGCGCGCACGGCTGACCGCCCAACCCCTTGCAGTGATGGAGTGGACGTCATCGGCAGCCCGGCCCTTGGCAATGACCTTGAACTCCCTGGGTTTCAGCTTCGGCCACGCCCTGATGGCCACCGTGGCCTACACTGTGCGAGACTGGCCCATGCTGCAGCTGGCCGTCTCCGCCCCCTTCTTCCTCAGCTTCCTGTACTCCTGGTGGGTGCCCCGCCACCCCCTCCACCTACGCCCCACCACCATGTCCATGCCCAGGCCTCCCACGTCAGCCCCACAGGGTGACCTTCGCCACATAGCACTCTAACACCTGCTCCTTCCCCAGGCCCCCACCCTGGAGGGCAGGGCCCCTCCCACCCCAGATCTTGTCTCTACCTCTGATGTGTCCCTTGAAACTCTCTATTTTTCTCCTCTGCAAACCCTAAGGGTCCCAGGGCCCCGGGGTGGGGCTGGGAGGCAGTGGGCCCAGCCCTGCATTGCTGAGGCCTGGGTGGGAACCACAGGGAAGCGGCAGGCTGGGGGCTCAGGGGCAGAGCTACATGCTGAGGGGAATGGGGATCAGATCCATGCTAGGGGATGGGATGTCGGGGGCAGACTGGCCTCCAGTCGGGAGAGAAGAGGGCCACGTGTGGGGCACTGGGGATGGCCTGGAGGTGTCAGTGAGGCCAGGCCCTTTGGGCAGAGGAGAAGCTGAGGCTCAGAGGACCAACGGCCTCCTCTCGTTGCCCAGCAGCCGCAGCCGGCACAGCCAGCTCCCAGAGCTCTGTTAAGCTCCTGGAGGGCAGCCGGGCATGAGCTGGGCTCTTCAGGCTGCAGGCAATGACCCCCTCATCCCCCCAGGTGGCTAGCAGAGTCGGCACGCTGGCTTCTCATCACAGGCAGGGTGGCCCGGGGCCTGCAGGAGCTGCAGAAGGTGGCCAGCATCAACAGGAAGAAGACCGAGAGGGAAGAACTGACCATGGAGGTGAAGCGGGCTGGCCTCCCCTGGGCTGGACCCTCCCTGCCCCGCACAGGAGACAGCTGCAGCCCTGACCAAGGGCTCAGCTTCAGGGAGGGGACATCTGGGTGTCCCCAGTGCTAACAGCACCCCCTGCCTGCAGGGCGTGCTCGCTGCCATGCAGGAGGAACTGAGTTCCGGCCAGGCCCCGGTCAATGTCAGTGCCCTGATCCTCACCCCAGGCCTTCGCCAGCGAACCTGCCTCTCCACGCTGTGCTGGTGGGTGCCCCACCTCACCACATCCCACCCACCCGGGCCCAGGCTCAGCAGTTCTCTGGACTGACTACTCTGCTGGTCCCACAGCCGTGGGAATGACCCCCCCACCAGCTGCCCCTCTGACAGCCAGGCTCCTGTCAGGAAACAGCCCATGGCAGGGGGTCTCAGTAAGCAAACACCATCGGATCTGACTCGTAGTGACCCTATAGGACGGGGAGTACTGCCCCTGTGAGTTTCTCAGGCTGTTACTCTTTACAGGAATAGAAACCTAGCCTTCCTCCCATAGAGCGGTTGGTGGTTTTGAACTGCTGACTCGGCGTTCACAATCCAACTTGTAACCACTGCACCACCGGGCTCATAACAGCATAAGAGGAGTTTAATCAAAGAAACTTTTCAGCTATCCCCACCCCGTTGTGCTAGATCCTCCCTTTAAATCCCTACTCCTCTCTTGTCCAAATCCCCTAACTGGGAGAGGGGAAGGGATAGATAGAGCCTCCATTTCCCCCCACCCCTCCCACCCTCTCATCCCACCTCCAGCCTCTCACCAGAGCCTCCCACTGTCCACACCAAAAGCCACGTTGCAAGGGAGCCTGGGAGATGTAGTCCCGAGTGCTCAAGCCACCCCCACCCCATCTCCACCATGCAGAGCCCATGGGGAGAAGGGCAGGCAGGATCCTTCCAATCAGAGAGATCAGTCAGGCAATGAACACCTGACCAGCCCACTCCCCAACAGGACTCCCCCCGCCCGCCCCGCCCCCAGGTTTGCTTTCGGCTTCACCTTCTACGGCCTGGCCATGGACCTACAGGCACTAGGCAGCAACATCTTCCTGCTTCAGGTCCTCATTGGGGTGGTGGACATCCCTGCCAAGATAGGCACCCTGCTGCTGCTGAACCGCCTGGGCCGCCGCCCCTCCCAGGCTGGGTCCCTGGTGCTGGCAGGTCTCTGCATCCTGGCCAACACACTGGTGCCCTATGGTGAGCCAGCGAGCGGGCAGGGGGGTGGGGGGTGGGGTGTATTGTGGGTGCACAGCTCCCCTTCCTGAAGGCCTGAGCCAGAACAGAAACCCTGCAAGGGCCAGAGGTGATGTGGGAGCCAGAGGAAGGCGCATCTGGGAGGCAGCCTGCTGTGGCTTCCAGGGAGAGGGTCCTGTGCTCGGGCAGTGAGAGGCCCCACAGCAGGGAGTCAGGAGAATCATTGATGGGGGGTGGAGGACGAAAGGGGGTGGGGCCACACTTCCGGTTGACTAGGTGGGGAGCAGATTGGGGAGGGGGAGAGGGGATGCTCAAAATATCATTTAAGACCTGGCACATTTGGGGGGCCTGGGGCACAGTTGGTAAGCGCTGGGCTCTTAAGCTCTTAACGTAAAGAGTAGTCCACAGCTGTGGCAATTAACCAGAAACCACGCCCATTGTCCCAGTCCATTGTCCTCTGGCCTGCTTCAGGAGGCTTCCCGAAGGAAGCCTGGCGCCTCCTTTTTCCCCCAGAAGAGCGGCGGGCGTCTTTGAACTGGTAGCCTTGCCGTCATAGCAGCAGCGCATTCAACCTCCACACCACCAGGTTCCTTCCATACAGACGACGGTCTAGGAAGCCCAACGGGGCAGTTCTCGGTCCTTGAGGGCAACTTGGACTTGATGGGGCCCCTCGGCAGCGGGGCACCCACGTGGAGATGAACCAGAAACGTCTGGCAAGACAGGCCAAGGCAGCCGCCCGCTGACCCCACCTCTCTCCGCAGAGATGGGGGTGCTGCGCTCCGCGCTGGCGGTGCTGGGGCTCGGCGCGGTGGGGGCGGCCTTCACCTGCATCTCAGTCTACAGCGGTGAGCTCTTCCCGACGGTACTCAGGTGAGGGGTGGCCGTGACGGTCTCCCAGGCAGCTGGGTGGCTCCAGGTGGCCGTATGCATGGGTTCTCCGGGGTGACCCTCTCTCCCTGGGCTGGCGGGGCCGGGCTGCAGGCGCGCAGCGTGGTCATCACACGGGCGCTTCTGGGCCGCAGGATGACGGCGGTGGGCCTGGGCCAGATGGCGGCCCGTGTGGGCGCCATCCTGGGTCCCCTGGTCCGGCTGATGGGCAGGCTGAGCCCCTCGCTGCCGCTGCTGGTGTACGGGACCGTGCCGTTGCTGGCCGGCCTGGCCGCGCTGCTGCTGCCTGAGACCCGGAGCCTGCCGCTGCCAGACACCATCCAGGACGTGCAGAGCCAGTGAGTGGGCCGCCCCTCAAAGAGCCTCAGGGCGTCCGGTGCCCCACCCACGGACTCCCACCAAGACAGCCCCTCCCGGTAGCTGGCCTCGGCTGTCATTGTCGCCACCGCGTGCACGGGCGCTCTGGGACCCTGGGACCCGGTTTCCCCGAGAAAGCATGGTTGACAGTCTCTCCTGAGTCATCAGGACCAGGATGAACACAGGTCACTGGTCAGGGGTCACTGGGCTCCCTGACGCTCACGTCTTTCTTCCCCAACAGGACGGTGAAGAAAGCCGCCCACGGCCACCCTGTGCTGAAGTGCACGCGGTTTTAGGTTCCCACCGTGGGGCGGGGAACGAGGGAGAGCAGGTGGGAAGGCAGCGGGGGGGTCCTCACTGCCCTCCTAGCTCCCAGGGCTGCTCCCCACCCCCTAACCTTCCCTGGAGGAGGAGCCACAACCCACATAGAGGGGACAGCAGATGATGTGACGGGCAGGGAGACTCCCACATGCATGCTCTGGGACCCCAGGCTCTGGAGGGGGGGGGCCCTCCCCCTTCTGACAACCTCAGAGGCACAAGGAACAAAGTCTCATTTCCTGGCTTCCTTGGGAAAGCACTGATTCAACCCGTTCGCCTGGCACCCCCATCGGCACTCCAGCCTCAGCCAGATGCTGCGGACATCATCCACTGGACCCCTCACTGCCTGGCCTACCCCCACGGCCTGTCGGACCTAGGCCAATGACCCTGCCCGGCCAGGGCTGGGAGCTTGGCCTGCCCACCCCGCTTCTCCCACAGCCTGTGAGTCCCCAGAGGGCAGGTGCCTGCAAGGAGCTGGAGGAGCCAATAAAGGTGCCAAGGACCAGGGACCCAGCACGAGCCCAGGAGCTTCCTTACGGGTGGGGGAGTGCGCGTACGGGGGGCCTCCCAGCATGTGGTGTGGGCTCCCGCCAGCATCATCTTGTCTTCTCTCCTTGTCTCAACCACGCAAGGCCTATGGGGAACCAGGCCCAGAGAGTGGCTACCATACACAGAGGGTCCAGGGCCGGCAGTGCCGTTCCTCCTGCCCCTGAGGCACTGGGAGGTGCAGGGAAGGGGGTGGGGAGGGGGGAAGCAGGCTCACCCGTAGCTCACCCCCTGCCCAGCTGGTGGAGACCTAGTCCAGGAAGGTGCTGTCCACTGCCCAGTGGGGCCCACCAACTTTGTTCAGGGGGGCCGTGTCCACCTGTGAGTGCTTCTGGGCATCTGTACCTCACACACAGGATACTCAGGGACACACACACGTGGGCACACATGCATGCATGGGCACACTCACAAAGAGTAATGCCAGAGACCCTGCAGCTCCGTCCCCCAGGAGACCCGACCACTCCCGCCCGGCTGTCAGCTGCAGCCCCCTCCCTTCCTTTGCAGCACCAGACAGGCTTCTGGGAGCTGTGTCGCCAGGCCACGTGCCCCTGGTCACCCTCCAGTGAAGGTCTCAGGACAGAGGGGATGGGCTGGGGTCAAGTGGCTAAAACATGTGTCCCCTTCTCCCCTGAGATGCATAGGGCCGGCTCACTTCTCAGTGAAATCCCTCCGCCAGTCGCGCCTGCCTCCGTGGTCAGTCTACTCTCATCACAGGACAGAACTGGGGAGCCCAGAGGGCCCAGGGCCCATGTCTCTGGGGCAGCTGGCCACAGCCCGAGCCCCTGATGGATGAAGGCAATCTCGTGGCTGAGCAGGCCCAGAGGGCACCCTCAGTGGCAGCTAGAGTCCTGCCTGTGGCTAAATGATGCCCACCCAAAGGGCTGGCCTTCCCTTGGAACATGCCCTTTCTGGGTATCCACCACGGGGGACCGCCAGACCTCAAAAGCTATGGGAGCACACCCTCCACTCCCAGTGAGAGGGAGGGGGAGAGGGGGTGGGGTAAAGGTTCAGGATGGGAAGGAAATTCTCATCACACCCCATACACACCGTTCCATCTCCACTGCATCAGAGTTCAGGCATGCCGATTACAAAAAGGGGCCCAGGACCCACTATTCACCTCCAAGTCTGGCGTCCCCTCTCTCCTTGGACCCCTATCCTTGGCCCTCTGCCCTGCCCAAGTACCAGTTGTCAGGGCGCCTCGAGGCCCGGAACCACAGCCACCCCTGTTGCTGCGTGGACTCCGAGGAGCACGGTCCCGCCAGCAGCCCGGGAGGAGGCCAGCTCGGGCCAGGGGGAGAGTGAAGCACCAGCAGCAGCACAAGATGAAGGCGCTGTGAGCGCAGTGCTGGTCTCTTGCTGATGGGCAAACTGAGTCAGTGATCCGGTGCAGGTATCCTCCCTCTTACGGCCACGCCCTCTGGGGACAGGCACCCCACCCTCCAAGCGCAGAGAAGAAAACGAGTCCCGCAGACAAATGACAGCCCAACAACAACAGGGGCCACCCTCCACCTCCTCACCCCGACAGCTTGCTCAGGAATATTCTAGAAACTTCTGGAGGCTGCCTTCCTTTGCTTCCTCCGGAAAGGAGCCGTGGCTATGCATTGGGCTGCTAACTGAAAGGTGAACAGTTCAAAACCATTAGCGACTCCACGGGAGAGAGACGGGACTGTGTACCGCCATAGAGTTAGTCTCCGGAAGGCACGGGGGCAGTTCTGCCATGTCCTATAAGGTCACTATGAGCAGAATGGAGGTGAAGGCCCTGAGTGTGGTTTGGGGGGAATGGTAATTGGGTGGGGGTGGGGCGAGGAGGCCTCTATCCCTGGGACAGCCAGACAGAATACAGAGGACCTCAGCCTGAGCCATCACCAGCACAGAGACAGAGCATCTTGCAGGTTAGGGCCTCCCCCACTGCCCCCCCAACTTCTTCAGCAGCTAGTGCTGGTTGGAAAGACTGACCCAAGTCCATGGGAAAACAGATCCAGAGGGATGGGGGGGATCTTGGCTCTTCCCACCTTGAAAGGACTCTAGAGGCAGAACCCCTGGGCCCCCCAGAGGGACCACCCCTGGTGGAGGGGCTCCTAACAGAGAAGCTGCTTGCAGGGATGAAGGGGAGGAAGTGAGGAAGGGGGAGGCACCCAAGGGTGCACCCTCTCTGCTGACAAGCAGGGTTCGGGCAGCCCTGCCCAGCTCCAACCCAATTCTGGCTCTGGGAGGCTCCAGCTGAAGATGAGCCCAGCTTTTGAAGCAACTGGAGGAGACCAGATGAGGGGACTGACAGCCAGGCCCCTGCCTAACGGGGGTCATGCTGCCCGGCGGCAACAAAGGGGATGGCTGGTCAGGGACGCCATGATCAAAATTGGGGAGGGAGGAGCAGGGAGGGGTCCTGAGCTACAGGCACAGAGGCACATCACCACCAGGGATCAGCAATGTCAACGACCTGCCGCCCTTACCCTGGTGGTCCAGACCCCCACTCCCACTACCTCCCCCCTCCCCCGCACACACATAGTCTTCTCTCAAGAGGATCACTCACCTAGGTCCTCATACAATCCCTCGCTTGGGTCTGAAAGGCTAACTGAGCTCACATCCCCCTTTGAAAGGGCCCATGGAAGAGCAGACACCTGCGAGCTAGGCCAGGGCCCCGCACAGTGAAGCAAGAGTGAACTGGGGGGTGGGGCTTCCCCGGGACCCTAGAGACCTAAGAGAAGGGAGCAGAACTCAGGGGCCAACAGCCAGAGGCCAATCTGGACTCACTTTGGGACCCTGGACCAGTCAGGAAGCTGAAGCCAGGAATGGCACCGCCTCCCCCAGGGATGTGGCTAAGATTCTCACGGCCATGGAGGACAGACAAGGTGGAGCTGCCCCATGACATATTCTATCCCCAGCCAGTGTCTGGGACACGGATACCCAGAGGGCCAGGCCCTCCTCCACCACTAAAAAGAACTTCCTGCCATCAAGCCAATGCTGACCCTCTGACTTTCAGAGGCTGTGACGGGTTATAGGAGTAGAAAGTCCCGTCTTTCTCCTGCGGTTTCAAACTGCCGATCACAGGATCACAGCCCAGTGGGTCACCGCTACCCCACCGGGCTTCTTGGCCACCAGGGACAGCAAAAGTGTTCCCGCCTCTATGCTTGGTGGCATAGCTAGTGATGTGTTGGGCTGCTAACCACAAAGTCAGCAGTTCAAAACCACCAGCTGCTCTGTGGGAGAAAGAAGCAGGCTTTCTACTCCCATAAAGAGCCACAGTCCTGGAGACCCACAGGGGCAGTTCCGCCCTGTCCTGCAGGGTTGCTGTGAGTCAGTCCGCTCAGTGGCTGTGAGTTGTTGCTCTCTCTGTAGTCTGTGACATGTGCCAGCGCACCCAGAAAAAAGGGAATCCCTCCCGAGCGGACGGCCTGCTCCTTCAGTCAAGAGATCAAACGAAGCA